GAATACATTTGGATCCTTGAGTGGCTGGTGTGCAGCTACCTGGGATTTTTTTTGACCACTTTAGCTATAATTTAAAACCATTCTTAGTGTTTGTTTGCCTGGCTCTGGGCTAGATATGGAGGAAAACACAAGAAGTGGAAGACAGGGTATCTGGCCTTCATGACCTTTTAGGTGACTGCCACACATGAAGCAATTGGAGAATGACTCCATGGCAGAGAATCAAGGGCTGTGTTTAAAGAAATTCAGAGTGGGTAAGAGCAGGGTAGACCAGATGGTGTAGGAAAGCTGAGGCGGTGAGGCTTTGGATCGTGGGCGAGGGCAGGACAATAAGTTGAGAAACACAGGAACCAAAAGCATGGAGGCAGAAATCTGCATGGTGTGTACTGAACAGTGCACAGCCCCACGTTAGAGCGGAAGCACTTCAGAGTCCATTTTCAGTGCAGTGGTCTAGACCGGAACTTCCAGGTATTGGGCAGATCTGATTGCTGAGGGCTTATCATGGTAAACTTGGGTCCAAAGCCAGAAGTCGCCTGGGTTCCTGCCCTGGCCAAGGACCTCATTGCTCTCAGTGCAGCTTGGGTGAGGGAGGCAGAGCTCCCGGACCCTCTGTGGTACCAGGGTTTCTGTTGGAGATTTCCTGTGTTCAGGTACAAGTGCAAACCCTCTGAGGAGGCCCAACCTCACCCTGTCCTCCTTTTTCCTGGGAAGGGTGGTGTTTACCTATGTCCGAGATCTGTCTGTGCTTCAGTCATGGCCCAGGCTGCAGCCTAGTCCTTCCTCAGTAGAGTGGGCTAAAGGCAGAGTAGTACAAGGGGAGACAGGCTCCATCAGACGTGGAGGAAGGGGTGTGGCGGAGGTGCCAGCCTGCTCAGAGTAAACAGGGAGCCGGAGCAGCCAGCCTGTGGTCAGCACTTCCCCTTCATCTCTCTGGCTGGGCCCACGCCCTCCTTTGCTAATTCTGTGCAGTGCTAATTGAAATACAGTCTACGGAGGGTACTTACTCCTTCTTGGTTGTATTTTAAAGTCACAAACTGGAAAAGGCTCTCCTAGAGACCCCTCATTGATAGCTAAGGTGGGTGGGTGGTGTCAGTCCCCTGAGGCCCTGCCTGTGTAACCCTCGCTTGTTTAAGGTTGATCTGCTGGAACCTTCCTCACTGTGAGCTAGTTTCAACTACTGCTACAACTCGCTACTGCTTGAAACTCTGTGTGCTATGGTAGGAGCACAGGAGTAAGGAGGGTGAGCGGCTTGGTGTAGGGACTAGGTAAATGGGTGACGCTGGGAGTTTGGGACCATTGGTGATGACCTTGGCCTGGTCTCCTGCCTGTGGCTCATTATAGTGAATGTGTATTCACTGGAGTCTGAGCCGAGGACTTCAACCATCAGCCTCCTGTGAGGAAAGGCATGGCCGGGAGCTCGCCGCCCAGTTTATGCTCCTCCACCTCTTTGCTCCTTTTCACTTAGCTGATTTTGCAGGCCCCTTATTAAGGCTGGGAATGATGTTAAAATAGCTGTGAACACCCATGCAGTGTGCATCCTGGAAGAACTGGGGAGCAGGGAGGGTGGCTAGTGGTCCCAGATCTGGGTGTAAGACTAGAGTGGAGTTGATGGTGGCCGCCCATTCAGGCTTCACCCAGAGCCCCCAGAAGAGCTGGGCCTGCTAGGCGCCCTCAGGGCCCAGCAGGGGGTGGGGGGTGGGAGGAACTTTTCCCTTAGGTTCCATCTGTCTGCCCTGCTGCCTCTCCCTTGGCCTTGAGCCCTGAGCATGGAGGACTGGGCACTGGGATAGAGCTGTGGCTGCAGGAGGCAGTGTGAGAGTTGTGTGTGCGTGTGTGGTGTGTGTGTGTTTTCATTTGTGGAAGTCTTGTCACCAGTTGGGGTGTTGAGAGCATCTCCATTGCGGGGAGACTTGCCATTTGTTTTCCACTTTTAAGAGAATGACATGCCCCTGTCCCTAAGGGAGGAGCTTTTGAGTTAGACATTTTCCCTATGGGAATCCTCTTGGTTTTGTCTGTGGGAAAGGGGGGAACAGATGAATGATTTTTATCTCTTAATCGTCAACACAGCTGTTCTTACACTGAACTTGTGCTATTGCATACATGTAGCCATCTTTCTTTTCACTGCAGCAGTGTTTATTAGTAGTTCAAAATGATTTATTTGCTCCTGGGGAGTAAAACCTTTTTTATTAAAAAAAGAAAAAGAAAAAAAAATGTGACCCCCTTCCCCTATGATTGTGATCAGATTATTGGGCCACAAAGCTCAAGAAGGCAAAGTCAAGTCTGCCAGGCACCTCATCTATCCTGTTGTGACATTGGAGCCTTCTTGCTCAGCACAAAATGACAGGAGGCCTGGAGATGGAGAGCAAAGCCTTGGGAAGAGTGAGGTGGGGTTGGACCGCAGAGACGGGCACTGGGGACTCGGGTGCTGCAGCCAGAAAAATAGATACGAATTGTATTTAAAATATTGACTCTAATCTGCCAGAGAAAGACCTTTCTTTACGTGCAGATTCTATGTTGTCTTTGTCCTTTTTATCCCTACTTGACCTTCCTTGGTGTAGCTGCTGTCCATTTCTTTCCTGTTTCCTTCCTGTCCTTTCTACCCCCTTCTCCCATCTCTTTCCCGTCCCCTCTACCTCCCGGAAAGCCAGTCCTGCATGCTGAGTCTGTGACCTGCCTTCAAACCCATTTCATCTCATGTAGAGGGTACCTGGAACTGCTCCCTTCCCGTCTCCCAGCCCCCCTCCTCTGCCATGCCGAGAGGCATCAAGG